CGTCTTCATGTGGATTATCTTTTAGACCAGAAGTATATACATTCTCAAAAAGGTCTGCTTTAAAGAGGCTGGGTTGTCGTGGCCATTTTTAGACTCCATCTATCTCCTTTAGAAGAAGAGCTCCATATAAAGATATACAAAAATGATTAAATTTTTAAACTAATATGTATGAAATTTTTCTTTGTCAAATGGTAGTCGACAGCTAAAGAAATCATGATGTATAAACATTTAAGTTAAATCTGTTGGTTAATTTTTTTTGTAAATTTGAGCCTCCTTAATGAATTTGGCACTAATTTCAATGAATTTTTGTTTTGTTTTTTACATTCGTTTCAGAACTATTCTGGAAGTTTTAGCTACGTGGAAGGCATTCCTACTGTAGCCAGGGATGGGGTCAATCACATAGGAAAGTAATTAATTAATTTACAATTACTTTCCAAAAACCCTCAATTAAATTACCATTACCATTACATCGATTTTGAAATGTAATAATTTAAATTACAATTACTTTGCAAATGTAATTAATTAAATTACAAATTACATTCAAGAATACACGTAAAAAAGTAAATAGTCATGTATATTCTTTTCCATTTATAACAGATTACTTTACATTTTTTACAATAATATTATTAAAAGCTTCATACATTTTTCAAATACTGTGTCCCCTAACCTAATATATCTTCGATTAATTTGAAGATTTTCCCGCAATGCTGAAGATTCTTTCCACTAGGGTATTTGTGAGGAGAATGCTTACATGTAGATACTGACAAGTAGAAAGTTTACAGATGGTTTTACCTTACCGGTAATTCATGTGTTTAAATTTTGGAATCATTTTTAAGCTTTCCCATAAACAAGTGATAAATTTATGCTAAATGTACTTTTGATGCTTTAATTTGCCTTTATATTTCCTTATTTCAGCATCATAGGTTTACCTCAAAATATGGGTATTTGACTTATTCTGTGCCAAACTACAATTTAAAGTCAAAGAGTGTGTATAAAAACATTTTTCACAAAGTCAAAGGTGTGAAAAATGTTTATTTAGGAATAAGTATATGACCCCAAAACACAAAATAGCACCTGTTAATAACTTCCAACACAAGCTGAAGACATGGCCAACAAAAAGATTAGAAGCCATTGGACTTCTTATTTTCATATGATTAATTAATTTAAAAAATCAAAATATGAATTTTATTTGTAAACTTTACAAAGATTAATTTGATTTAAAAGTTTTGTTTTTTTTTTAATGAAAAGGGGCATTGTATTTAAACAACAATTGACATAAAAAGGGAAGTTCTTTTCAAGAATTTTAACAATGAAACTTTTTGGTCCAAAATATGTTAACCTTACATAAAAAATGTTTATGAAATTGAGGGAGAGGAGACTATTTTTCATTTATTTAAAACCAGTGTAATTGAATGTAATTGAAAAGTAATTGTGAATTACATGATTTTTGGAAAGTAGTTAATAAAATTACCATTACTTGTAATTGAAAATTTGGTCAATTACACATTACTTTCAATTACATCGAAATTTGTAATTAATTACAGTCAATTACCATTACACATTACCATTACCCCATCCCTGACTGTAGCAATGGCTAGTACAGAAACGCAGCTTGATGATTCTCACTTAACGACAAATCATAAAGTTTAATATTTTTTTTTATGAAGGTATGGGGATAACGAACAATATTCAATGTCAAAGTTCTTAAACCAATATAAAATAAGAGCAGAGCAAATAGGGACATCTAAAGCATAAGAGGTAAGTGCCATGGAGGAGTGAGCATCCCCTGCCGACCGGACACACCCGGCGTGTGCTCCCTATTATGATCGGGAAAAATGGGAAAATCCGTGGTCAATTCAGTGTATAAATAGTGGACTAAGAATTGGTATGAAAACTGTCAGTCAGCATTTGACTCAATGATAAATTGTATTCGCTGACAAGGTCATTGTATCGACCAAAGAACGTACAAATTAATGACATATAAACGAGATAGCTGAAATTCTTGTGTCATTAACTTTTCTGTCAATAATTTACCTCGTTTTAGAAATTGTTCGTACATAGAGCATGGTTTTGCGTATCGAAAAACTGCAAAGGGTTTTGATTTTTATGAACGGTATTTGCCATGGTTATTTAAAATAGAAATTTCTGTAAAATGCTTTCAAAATGTTACTCCTCCACCAGTTTTGGTCTGATTTCAGTATAACTTGGCACAGAGGAAGACTATACTGACATAGTTAGATAAAAAGTATTACCATGGTTACAAAAATTAGAAATTTTTGTGAAAGGCTTTCAAAATGCTACCCTCCAAAAGTTTTGGTTTGATTTCAATATAACTTGGCACACAAGTAAATTTTACTCAGATACATAATTCAGTGCATTTGTGAGACATCACCAATTATCAGGTCTGAGTAGGGTTGTCATCCGAGGGCGCTTGCGCCCGAGGGTGACAACCCTACTCAGACCTGATAATTGGTGATGTCTCCCTTCTTAACAGTCCGTAATAGTTTTATTATCCTGAGGAATATACAATTATCAATTAGATAGAGTAGAAAATAGTAATCAAACATCTTTTCTTCTACTCTGCTCCGATTCCATACTTTCAAAATATGTCAAGAGACAACTTTGTTAGAATTTATTGTTTACCGATCCTGCATATTTAGCAAATGTACTTATAAATAGGAGTTCTTTCGCTTAAACCACTGTTGTTTCATTCAAAGGGCAACAACACAGTTGTATCCCTGCTTGCGCACGTACGCTATTTCATTGACATCTGAAGGGAGATAACAGTTGTCACCCTGCGCCTGAGGGAGACATCACGAGTCGCTCCCTGCACGTGACCTGCTCTAAACCCATCAGATTGACTGTATAATTCTGAAGGATAATAATATAACTTAATACACACCTAGACTATAGCCCGATACATAATTCCGTGCATCGGGTTTTGATTTTGATGAATGGAGTCTGTCTTGATTACTAAAATTAGTAATTAGAAAAGAAGGATATGGAGATAAACGAACAGTAATAAAATATAAAACAATACAAAATAGGAGCAGAGAAAATAAGGACATCAGATGTGGGATCAGGTGTCATGGAGGAGTGAGCTTCTCCTGTTATAAACTGCTTTAAAACTGCTATTACAAATATAGTTTTAGTTTGATTATGATATAATGTGGCATACAGATAGACTACACTAAGATTTATTATTGTCTTTATTGTTTTTTAATTTCTTTTGATGGGATGATGGTAACTAATATTGAAAATTCTTAAAATTTTTATTAATTTTTATTAAAAGCTACTCCTTCAGTTGTAGTCTTATTGTAATACTGCCACAAAAAATGACTTAATCAAGGATCATTATTCTATCTATTGCTGTTTTTAAGTGTCAAGTCCCAACTGCTTTTTTCTCTTCCTGTTTTATAAGTATAAACCAGTAGAGCCAAGTCTCGACAAACACTTCTGGTTAATTGAGGTTCCAAACTGAACAAAAAAACAAGTGTTTCATAAATAAAAGTGCACGAGATAAAATCAATAGCTTTTTAAAAGTAAATAAGCATTAAAAGTCCTGAAATTTGATTCCATTATGTCATAAATCAACCTAATATTTTCTCCAATATATCTTCTTTTATAAATCCAGTTTGATCTGTATGTTTTAATTTATTCAAAACTTTTTATTCATTCGGCTTTACACCCAGATGCTAATTTATAAATAACGCCATAAAAAAATCTTTTGATTTTCTGCTTTTGGTACACAAGTAATAATTCCTAATCTATTTTCGTGGAAAAATTACATTGATTAATTAGCATCTTCTATTGCAAATATACCAATATCACAAATATATCAATATCTTTCCAAAAAAAACTTTAAAAACTCACAAGTAAATGCATCCTGTCCAGGACTATCATTTTTCGTGTTTTTCAAAAAAATAAAATAAAACTTCATCTTTAGTTATAGGTTCCTCTTAACTTGCTGATTCCCTTTCACTTAGTCTTGGTATATCATAATCTTTAAGTCTATTGTAAATGCTATCATCTCTTTTGACATTTTCTCCTTTTTTGTATAAATTGTGCAAAACACTTTGTCGGTTTTAAGTAAGGAAAGTTGAGAATAGAAAATTACAATCATTGTGTTTGTCATAAAGCTTGGTTGTTAGATAAACATTAACTTCTTTGTGAAGAAAAATATCCAAATGTATTTGACAGAGTCTGTGGTATCTTTATTTCAAGTCTGTCGTATTTAAAAATAGTACCCTGAAATTGATTTTAATATAAAACTGAAGTTGCACATTAAAGTTCCTCATGGACTGGAGAGCAATTTTCCCAACGAACTGTTAACATTTCAATGGGCTTCACATTTTTCACATTTGTTTTTGAAGTGTGCAGTGGTTTCGAGGTCAGATGACTTTGAAATAAAATTAGAGAATGACACCTACAATTCATTATATATTAGTTATTTCTATTTAAGGAAGGGTATGACCTTTAATATATATTACCCTTTTTGTTGAAATTGACCCAAGGAACATGGAGAGGAACTTTTGACAAAATCATGAAGTTTAAAGACGCCAGACAACATATACAAAGAGAACAACGAAAACAGCAAGAAGAAAACAGTAAGGAATGTTATACAGTTATAACCAACATGTAAAATTTAACAAATTAAATAGAGAGAGAGAGAGAGAGAGAAAGAAAGAGAGAGAGAGAGAGAGAGAGAGAGATTAAATTTAATCCTTTGATTTCCGTGTTTATTAAAAAAATTATACAAAAAATTTAAAAAGATTAAAAATTCAAACCCAACCAACTAATTGCAATACGAGTAAACAGTAATACATGTAATTAATAATGTATTTGATTTACAATGTTGATTTGGTATACCCTTTTTTCATATTTTAATAGAGCCTACATCCAACATTATTGCTGTAATTTAATGAGAAAAAAAGCAAAAACAAAAAACAAAACAAAAAAAAAATATATATATATATACAAGTTGATCTGTTCAAATGCATCGCTAATCTTTTAGCAACATCATTAATGTTTATATGACATTTTCTGGGATTCCTGATACTTTGGAGGTTTCAATTCAGGAAAACTATCTTTCACATATCTGAAAGACAAAAAATTAATTAACAAATATTGAATGTTATCATAATCCAAGCAAACAACAACTGTAATGAAAGTGTTTTCACAGGTGTCATTGTTGCGGAATTCAACGATTTTATATACTGACACGCAAAAGAAACGCAACATCCTACTTAAGGGGGTAATAATTATGTAAAGTAAAAAGAAGTTGTATCTTAAAATTATGGATATCTTCACTTTGGTAAGGACCGGTAATTTAATGGTTGAACGATTTTCATACCATAACCGGAAGTCAAGTTTGAGTCTGCTTAACAAAAATCAAAAATTGCATGTTTAACAAAAGATTTGGCAATATTATGGAGTTTTAAGGGTTTTAACTGTTTACCATAAGTAATGCTCCAATATTAAAAAAAAATAAACTCTCCTTTCGTTTCCCGTAACGATGCTAAGGCTTCTTGAAAATGGCTTAAATACGCATTTCCATTGCTCTAGCTGGAAAATTTCAATGTAAAGGTGATGGAGAGTTGCTGATGCAAAAATTCACGACAATACGCCCCAAAAGGGTCTTGCGTATCATATTCATTAAGGACGGTCCTTGTACCGGAAGTCCAGGGGTGGCTACACTGCTCTAAGTCAGAGAAAATTCGACATAATCATCTGAAAAACGGGCATTTAAAAATAACAAAGAATAATTCCTTCGCTCAGATCTCGATATTGATGAACCTATTGTATCGTAGAAGTTAAGCTGCAATTGTTGTTTAGGGCAGACTTGCACGTTTTACTTGAATGGCTAGGAGGGGGTGTTTTAACATTTATGTGTTACTAAGTAAAGCAAGAAGAAAAAAACATTTTACATTTTTATCATTTCTGATGTTCTGAAAAGTGAGTTTAGCTTTACTGTATTCATTTTTGAAAACCATAAGATAAAAAAAATCAAACATTTGTAGATTACTGCTTGTTGCATTCCTTTTGCGTGTCAGTATAGGAATATGCTAGATTTTTTGATAGCACTGTACCTTTTTAAAAACTATTTGCCGGTGATTGTTTTACGAAACATTATTAATCTCATATTTGCAAACATTTCCGCGGTTTCAGGTCTATAATTATCTATTTGAAGTGTGAAGATAGAATAATTATTGTGTTTTATACCGATATTTCTTCATCCAGCAAGCTAATGCAATGATTATGGTAGTAAGTAGAGCTATGCATCCAATCACAACACCAGCAATCCAACTGTAAGACGTTTTTTGCGGCTGATCTGATGTAATGGTACATCCTAAGAAGACAAAAAGTAGAATATGTCAAAGATTTTGTATTACTACGTTATATGCCTGCAAATAAGGGGGAGGGGATGGGTAAACAAATATAATATTAAATATAAGCAAATTGATGACTGAAGTAACAAAAACTTCAGTATTGTTTGATTGAATGATTGTATATTGTTTAACGTCCCTCTCGAGAATTTTTCACTTACATGGAGACGTCACAGTATTGTTAGAGTAATCGCCATTCTTTTGCATCAACATTGCAATCAAATCTTTAATATGGCTTTAATAGAATTGTTTATTGTTTCTCTAAATCCAAAATATCAATGAAAATAGACCCCCGATTTACAATAAATCATGTAAAACACTTTTTTCATAAACATGATTAATCAAGGGAAATAATTCAATACTCGAGTTTTAAAAGCCCATACTGTATTTAAATAGGTCAAAGGTATCCAATGATAAAAAAAAGATAGTTGTTCCAATTACTTTGATAAGTAAAACAATATGCGTTTCGTTTTTTGTTGAGTATATGTAGAGAAAAAAATAAACCAATTTTATTTGTGTGTGACCGGTCAGCAGGGGAAGCTCACTCTTCCATGAAACCTAATCCCACCTCTGATGTTTCGAAGGTCCGTATTTGCTCTGCTCTTATTTTGTATTGTTCTATGCACTTTGAGATTGAATACTGTTCGTTATTTCCATATCCTTGTGTAGTTTTTTGAAAGCCTTTATTTATACATAGACACTAACGATTTTCACAGAAATTTCTATTTTTTGTTATCATTGCACCTTATTCATCAAACACTAATAAATATAAATACATGTGTGATAATGGTCTGCTTGTTCAAAACAGTTTAACTATAAGGAAAATAGAGAACTACATCTGCTCTAGAATATGCAATCATTAAATAATAGAACTGTTTAGGAGAATTATAAAACATTTTATTTTTGGATCATAAGGTGCGCTTTTATCATTTTTCTCCGCTTTATGTACTGAAATTAACTTGTTTTCAATTCAAGAAATTTGCTGTTCTTTAGAGCCTTAAGGTCATACGCAACGTACCTTACCTACTGATAATTTTCCAAGATATTCTAAATTTAACCTTATAATATCATTACATGTTCTTAGACAAAAAATCAGCATGCGTTACCAGGGGTTTTGAAAAGATATCGAATTTTGAAAATTTTTGCATTATTGAAATAAAAATGTACGAAAATTATAAAACATAAATTTCAGATTTTTTTTCATCAAAAATTGTTTTAGAAGAGGTGTACAAATCCATATTTAGACACTAAAAATATTACACACATGTCCTTCATTTAGTGGAACTCTTCAACCCCAGGGAAGAATCCAAAAAAGTTCAAACTACATTGCGTATGACCTTAATATCCTTATATGGACTTTCACTGGAATTTTTTTATTTGAAAATGAAAGAAAAATATCATTGTCCTGTTTGAAACGGAAATACATTGTTGGTCAGTAAATAGATATTTTTACAGAGCTATTTTAAACATAAGGCCCACGGAGTCGAATGTTATGATCTTTTATATATTCACATAAATAGCATCAATATTACCCTTGAAAAAAAAAAAAGAAATTTTACAGTATATGCATAAAGTCTGTGTCAATTTTCAGAAAACCTCTTCTATATTAAGGCGACATCACGGTTTCAAAGTTTTTGTAGAAAACGTTTTGAAATACGAAATGTGTGATGTTAGTGAAACAAGTGTAAATGTTATATAAAGTTTAAAGAGTATTTTATGCTATGAATATTCATTACCAGGTTTAGATTTCAAAGTTGTCCATCCAAATTGATCCACATTGGCATCACATATTTTGCAATTATCCCTTCCACTGAAAACACTATCACGAACGCACCTGCCTCGTATAAAACAGTACCCAGCCTTCAAAAAATTGAGATTGAGTAATTAATACATGAATGCATTCCTTAAATAAGCAAATGACGATAAAATATTAAGTTCCTGCATGAATTCCATGGGAGTTTAAAAAATTAGTGAGATTGTCTCATTAAGCCCAAAATTGTCTTCTAATTGATTTACCATGTGAAAATTTAAATCTCACAATTTTGTTCATATGACTATTTATTCACTGGACAGGTAAGGGATTTAAATATTTGTGCTGGTCAGTTTTGGTCTACTCGGTATCAGATAAAGGCGCTTTCACAATTGGCGCACGAGTACTTTAAAACACTTTTCGATCGGAAAATTTTAGCTTCGCACAAGCTCTAACCGAGCTCTCGCATACGACGCACGATGTTTCGCATTCGTTGCAAGTTGACTTCAAGGAGGTGCTTAAGTTTCTGATTGACAATATCAATGTGCTTTTGTAGACCAAGTATTTCAACAATCAATTGGAATTCCTATGGGTAACAATTGCGCTCCGTTATCAGCGGACCTATTTTTATATTCATATGAAGCAGAATTTGTGCAAAATCTTATGCGTGAAAAGAATAAAACACTTGCTGTGGCCTTCAACTCGACATTTAGATATCAATTATATAATTTAAATGCATATTTGGCCTCCATGGCGTCAGACACAAAGACGGGCACGAGATTTTTTGTATATTAAGTATTCTGATCCCCTGATAGATTATCAATTAGCAATGGTAATTTCCATTCCTACGTCGATACGATATATCCTAGTGAGCTTGAGATAAAAGATACTACAGAGTCTGACACATCTGTTTCATACTTGGATACTTTACTTGAAAAAACATTAATGGTTATCTAACAACCAAGTTGTATGATAAACGTTACGACTTTAACTTTTTTATGGTCAACGTCCTTACTTATGCAGCAATATACCGTCGTCACCTGCGTACGGAGTGTATATATCTTAGTTGATTCGATACACAAGAGCTTGCTCTTCGTATGAACGATTTCTAAAACGAGGTAAACAATTGACAAGCAAGTTGATGAAACAAGAATATCAGCCGTCTCGTTTAAAGTCGTCATTTCGTTAGTTCTATGGTCGATATAATGACCTTGTCAGCAAATACAATTTATCATTGAGTCAAATGCTGACTGACATTATTCATATTAATTGTTAGTCCATTATTTATACACTGAATTGACGATGAATTTTCCCGTTATTTCATGAACATGACAATGAGCCCACTTCTCCATGGCACCTGATCCCACCTCTGATGTTTCTAAGGTCCGTGTTTGCTCTGCTTTTATTTTGTATTGTGCTATGGACTATGAAATTTAATACTGTTCGTTATCTCCATATCCTTCTTCATTGAAATGCACCTGCTCATTGGTCTATAAGTCAGACATTATTTTTTATTTAACAAATATTAGTGAATGTACATTCCTTTGGGATTCAGAACAAGTTTACTGCAACTTTATTGAAGCATTTACTTTCACTCTAGCTTACCGATTCTGTACCATTAATTTTAAATGCAGTGTCTCGAATAACCCTTGTTTTCCAGCTTCTCACATAGAAACTATGTGACGAAAAATTAACACATAAACTGTTATCAATTCATAAAATTTCAATTGTGAGAGAAGTCAAGTTTAATGTCATATGATTTCTATGCTGCATGCCATAGACTTCAGGACAATATTTTCTGAACAGCTCTCGTATATCCTGATTAATCCATTTATTATTAGTATCAAGTAGAAATTGATTTCTGTCTCTATTTCCTTCCTCAAATGAAAAAAAAAATCAGTTAAAGTGATTGATATTCTTCTCACTTCAGAATATAAAATTTTACTGTTTACTCTAAAGTTACAGTGCATTTTATTTGCACTATACTAGTGACTTCGTGGCATTGTGACTTTTACATTAAAAATGTTTCAAAATGAAATATATGCAGGTATTCGAGCTAAAAAAGTTCATAAAACATTACAAAAATAGGAGCAGAGCAAAAACGGACCTCCAAAACTTCAGAGGTGGGATCAGTGAGCATCCCCTACCGACCGGTCACACCCGCCGTGTGCTCCTTGTCATGACCGGGAAATAAATCTTTATTACAGAATGCTATATTTATGAAAGTAGCATCCGACAGGTGTGAAAGATGGGCATGCATATGGCTCCTGATACTGATTCTGAATATGTTTAGAGGTCCGTGTTACTTCTACTCCCAAATTGATCGGTATCTCCATATAAAAAAAAAATCAGAAGGTGGTTGTTTTTTCCAACCATAGCGTAAAATTTAGTCTTTTCGCCTTCTAATGCGTGTTTTTTTTTTACTCAGCTACAAATTACTTTTAAATATATGAGAGAGAGAGAGATAGAGAGAGAGATGCTTTATAGTTTCTCACTTACTCGTAAAGTAAATCGAAGTTGTCCTGAAACATTTAAAGTATCTTGGCATGTCGAATCCAAAATGTATAAGAGATGATTATCACTGAATGATTTCCCGTCATTGCTAACTGCAATCTTATAAGCCACAACAAATTCGTTATTTGTTGGGGATGATCGTTTTTGCCTTAGATGAGGAAATGGGCATCGAATGTCCGCAACAGTATTGTGCACAGCAGGAACAATATGAACTCCTAAAGATTTATTTTCCCCTTTATAGTTTATCTACAAAATAATATCATAACCTTAGCCAAGCAAATTACTTGTTTCACAATCCATTGAGTAGAAATTTAAATATCTACACCTTTCAGTTAACACTGCATGGAATGTTTATCTCAGAGGACTACAAAATATGCATTGAAACTTAGTTTGAATAAATCATTTTGGAGGTAGAAAAGTGTCAAAAGGAATGACTTCTTTGTAAAAAAAAAATTCTAGAAAGAAAACGAAAATCACTCCATCCGTTTTATCAGAGTCTACCTAAGATGTGAAATTCATTTACTTTACTAGTTTTCTACTTCGATTACGATAGTACATAATTTTCATTATACACACCAACACTAAGTCGTACTTCATACATGTACTTCAAAGTATCCCGAAAACGAACATCATTTTAACCTGTATTTATTCTTAGATACGTTTACCTAGCCTTAGAAAGGTTCAATTTTTTAAAGGTTAATCACGTGATCAAAAATATTAAGATTCATTATTATGCAAATGAATTATTTTCTTAAAAAAGATTGCTACACATTTTTATTTACAACCTACATAATCATTTTAATAGTAAACAAAATGATTCTTATAAGCACCTCAAACTCCTCCATTCTGCAAGTCAGTTCAGGTCTGTCTAAAAAAGGATCACCCTCTAGTGATGCGATTTTACAAACAGGCTTATCACAAAGCCCCCCTGTGTCCAAATTTGCTCCAAATACGTGAGGAGGGTCATTAAAATTGATCGAACAATCTCCAGCTCCATAATTATTTCGGCAAATGCAATTACCTATGAAAAAAAACAACAAAACAAATCTAGTTAGAAAACATTCGAATATGAATGGAGTGTAATAACGACGTGGTATTCTGATTAAATAACTTCAAAATGAATTTTAAAATCCATTTCCTTCGCATATTTCTATTTAATTTTTTAAAGAAAGGTAAGTTAAATAAGAAATTACGAAAATGTAATAGTAGAAGAAGAACTATGTTTAACATGAATATATATTCACCACTTTGCTTACCATTATTGCAAACACCATTACCACTACATTCATTAGGACAACTAATTGTTTTGATCTGCTCTGCAATGCTTTGAGATTTACCACGTTCAGCTGTCTGTAGAGTTTGATTTTGTCGAAGTTCTTTAAAACACGCCGATTTTAAGCCTTCTCTTGAGGCAGAGGCCCAGTCTGTTGTGTTAGTTAGCTAGATTTAAAAAAGTGTCTTAATTGCTATACAGATATGCAAAGTGAGAATAACACCCTATCCCCCCTCCCCACACATACACGGATCCTCACATACGATACATATATACAATGGCGCCGAAAAGAATTTGGATGCAGTTAATCAGGTTGCTGCTCCTTCTGGACTCTATTTTTGGGAACCGATTTTTCCAAAGGTTGACTCATGAATTCGGAAATAGATTCCACATCTGAAGGGTCAATTTCTATTACAAAGCACAATATTTCATTAAAAAAAATTGACTTTTTAATCTGGATTTAAATTCTTTAGGCAAGGCTTTTCACAACTATTCTGCACATAATTCTAATATTAATCATAAAAAGGAATCACGGTCTAGTTAATATAGTATGCCATAGCATTAACGAAAGAGGCAGCCACGTAGCATCGATTTTGAAAGGGGGGGGCAGACAGAGAAAATTTTTTTTACTCACCTGAAAAAGTTGACAAGCAAAAAAAAAAAACAAAAAAAAATTGAAAATTGCAAAAGTCGAAAATCCTACTTCGTGGGGGGTGGGGGTTGGGGGTTGGTGGGGGGGGGGGTAGAGGGTACCTTTTTTCCAGTGCCAACTTCTTTCAGTACCACTTTCTTATACTATATTTTCCTCACCATAGAAAAGTGGGGAGGCCAACAAACCTTTCAATGAACATTTCCTATAGTATAGGTAAGATTGGGAAAAGAAGTGGGGGGAGCAGGCCCCCCTGGCCCCCCGGTTGCTACGTGCCTGAGTGGGAAACGTAGGATGTTCCTGGCAAACTATACTTTATTGACAGCGATTCCTTATATTTCCATTTCCTTGTAAAATAAAATTGTAGATTAAGATTTTAAAAATGTAGGCTAATAGATTTGAAATGTACGAGGACTCTCAAGTTTATTCAATAGTCCTCGCCCACTGACATTAAACACAGACAGCTGCACGAAATTTAAATGCATATTTGGCCTCCATGGCGTCAGACACAAAGACGGGTACGAGATTTTTTGTATATTAGGTATTCTGATCCCCTGACCTTTCGATTTGCCAAATTTACATCCCGGCAGAATTATCAAGAAATCAACTCCACTAACTTTCAAAGAATTTTCACAGAGAAATCAAATAGAAATGGAAATATTGAGATTAGATTTCAAGCCACGTAGTTTAGGTTGGCCCATTCAAAAGTTATACGGTTGAATTGATTTTATAAATACAAGTGGCAGTAAATGGAAAATTTAGAACGCATGTATGTGAAAACTTAGAATATTATATAAATTTCCAGACCTTTCGTAGGGGGAGGGGGAAGTAAAACAAACACTATTTCAATATTTTTGCTTTTGTGATAATTTACGGCAAAAAATAGAGCTCTTTAAACAATATATAAAATAAAATACATATATAAATAGAGCTCTTTATCCTAAACCGTCCAACTACTGGAAATTCCTTAATATACGCGTGGAATTAATTATCGCTTAATTTCGCGAGAAGCACCACACGCGAAATAAAAATACTCGCCTTTATTTTTATGGAGCTGAAATCTATGTAAAATCTCTTGATTAGCCGTCCATTCGCGAATAATTATTCTCGCGATTTGCCGTTGAAGAGCCCATTCGTGATAATAAGTAATCGCAAAAAAATAAAGAATTTACAGTAAATGGTAGAAAACATCTATCATATCACCTTTGTTTGCTTTAACCCCCTTCTGTGCAGTCACGCAAACCATTTCCCATGTCTAACGCAAAATCACGCATATACCGTTTTCCCACAATCACGCATTTTTATACCCTTTAAAAAAGTTTATTTAATCTTCAATTTATTGCTAAATTCCTTCTTTTCAAACATGCTTAAATTTCATAAAAAGAAAAGTTAATTTCTTATTAAAATATCTACGTCATAATATTATTAACGCTTAACTTTAGAATGACTTTTAAGTGTATGTTGCATAGCAATTTAATGTAAGTTATAAAGAGATAAATGGCTATTGCTAGAAATGCACACAGCAGATATTACCACGCACAACCGACCAATCATTGAATGAAAAGCAACGTTCACACCACCTATACATGTTTACATTTTACTTCAAACACATGGTTTACGTCAATCTATGATAGATAATAAAGGACCGCAAAAAATGTTCATATGAAAAATACAAAGATTAGAAACTCTAAAAGATGTACGTGACGTTTTTTATTTGTTGTTACCTAGAGAATATGTATAACAAAATGTCTTTGTTAAACACTATGCGCCTGGCGGCAACAAAGTATTAAAAACTATTTTTAGCATATAGGTAACAGTCAAGGATGCAAGGTCGTTGATCTTAATGTCATTTGAAGAAACTTTATTAGTGTAGTATGCATACCAAATATGAAATCTCTCTCACCTATGGTTCGAAAGTAATGGCGAAAGTTCGAAAAAAAGAGCTATTTTTAGCATATAGGTCACAGTCATGGTCAAAAGGTCATTGACCTTCGTGTCATTTCTATGAGCTTAATTCGTTAAGTGTGCATACGAAACATGAAGTCTCTAACTCCTATGGTTCGAAAGTAATGGCAAAAGTCCGAGAAAGCTATTTTTAGCATGTAGGTCACAGTCAAGGTCACAACGTCATTGACCTCGTAAAAGTATTAGTAGAGTATGCATACCAAATTTGAAGGTTCATAAGTTATGGCGAAGGTTAAAGTTGACAACAGACAGAGAGACAAACAGACAAACAGATTATACACACAAACAGATAAACAGACAGGACAAAAACAATGTACGCCTCGGATCTGTTGAAAATGAATTTTTTTAAGTTCAGAACACTAGCTGGGGCTTCAAGGGTCAAGAAAGCGAGCAGCATCTTCTGAGCATTTATTGACAGATGATACAAACATTTTTTTTTCTTGAAAACAGGCTTAATATCATATCACAAGTTTCGAAAAGTTGATAATTCTAAGAATTTTGTCTCCTAAGAACTAGAAAATGAAATAGACTAATATATATATAATTAATATTTCAACAAGAAAACAAATATAGACAACACTCAGTAAAGGTTTACAGATGAAAACGAATTTCAGAATATGTTACTTTGGTGCTAAAAGTGTAATAAGAGTGTAAATATGTCTGCGAAATATTATTTTTGATTTTTTTACTTGAATATCACAATGGTAAACTTTGATCGTCCCTCGCGGTCAGCACTACATCCCGTGGCTAATGATTTGATAAACTTGAATCTACACTTTCTGGGAAAGCTTTCATATAAATATGACCGATCATTGCCTTGCTGTTTTTGACGATTTTTAAAGATTTTTCCCATACATTTTTCGTAAAACTTTGATCATCCCTCGTGGCCCCATCCTACCCCCGAGGGTCATGATTTGAACAAACTTGATATTACACTACCTGAGGATGCTCTCATATAAATATGACTAATCTTGAGAAGAAGACTGTTAAAGATTTTTCTTTATATTACTATGTAAACATTTGATCGATCATAGTGGCTCCGCCCTACCTCGGGGTCATGATTTGGACAAACTTGAATCTACACTACCCGAGGATGCTTCCATAAAAGTAAGACCAATCATGGCTTTGCTGTTCCTGAGAAGAAATTTTAAAGATTTTTCCTGTACATTTCTATGTAAAACGTTGATTATGGCCCCTCGTGGCCCCACCCTACCCCCGGGGTTCTAAATTCTAAATGAAGTTCGAAGAATTAAGCTAATAGTGCACAAAGATTTTCGAGAGTTGTAAATAAATTGAGCAATAAATCTCAGGTAATTGTTGTGATTTTTAGTTGTGTACGTTTAGAAAAAAACATAATTTTCATTGCTCAGAACATACATATATTTGAGAAATTTTATTTAACCTTTTCAAAATACAGATAGGATACACAATGAAAAGAAAAAAGACATATTTCACTTCAATGAAATATATTGATATACCAAACAGTATTCAAGCTCAGAAGTCCATTAAACAATACAAAATGAGAACAGAGCAAACAATTACCTCCAAAACATCAGGTGTGATCAGGTGCCACGGAGGAGTGAGCATCCTCTGCCGACCGGTCACATGTACAGGGTGCTCCTTGCTCCTTGTCATGATCGGAAAATAACGGAAAAAAGTCGACAATTCGATGTGTAAATAAAAGCCCAACAATTAGTATGAAAACCGCGAGTCAGCATTTGACTCTTTGTTAAATTGTATTTGCCGACAAGGTCGTATTGACAATCAGATTTACGAAATGACGAATTTTAACTGGATTGTTGATATTGTTGCTTCCTTAACGTGTTTGTCAATAGTGTGCCTCGTTTTAAAAATTGTTCAAAGGTAGAGCATGCCCTCACGTATTGAATCTACTAAAGTTGACAATTGAAAATTAAAGTCATCACGTTTATCAAAACGCTTAGTTACTTAGTTATAAGATTATAATTGGCGTCTTCTACAAATAAACTATCGAAATATGAAACCGATATGCTAGATTTAGAGGTAACTTTGATTGCAAGCTCACTGGGATATATTGTTTCGACATAATAATGGAAATAATCATTATTAATTGCCAATGCGTCGTCCATATATCAAAATAGATAAAGCAATAAGTAAGAAAAAATGAATAAGATACTTATTCTATTGAAAAGATGCAAATGTTCTATTCGCATAATGATATGAAAATTTCGACCAAATTTGAAAAAAAGTTTAACGTTTAATGTATAACCTATCTATGGAACCTGATCCTACCTCTGTTAGCTGTGCTCTTGGGTTTCATTACTTGAATGGACTTATGATTTGAATATTGTTCCTTATTTCCTTTCATTTTTGAATAAGCATTTATATCCTTACCATGATATCTAAAGCGCAAGTTCTTATGGCATCGTTTGGATCTACTGATGGTACTTTAGTACACGCTTTAAATGCCATGGATTGATTCATGTAATCAGTGCACCATTTAAAAGCTTCTTCCTTTGTCATCGGAGTAAATTTAGGTACAGATCTCTGTTAAAGTAACATACCCATAAATAGATTTAAATCTCTTGTAACATTTTTTAAATGATGAATATTACAAATATGACTTTCGAATCAACTTTACTTATAGTTCGTTTATATTGTTTTTTCAATTAACGCTCTTTGCAAATTGCAAAGTATGAACATTTGATTTTAGAGTTAAAATAAATTGTCTGATTTATAAGGTTGGTTTGATGATAAATTAAAACTTACCTTTTGTTTTCTTTCATTAATATGAACAATGTTCATAGGAATATGACTGAAAGGGGACCTTCGTCGTCTTTGGTGCTTTTCAAAGCAAATATCTTGCTGAACAGATTTTATAGATGGTTCACAGTTAATAGTATCTACATTAGTGCACAAACTCTCTTCTATCAACTCGTTGACTTTGGTGATATTTGGATCACATATACAAAGCTTCTTATGTTGTTTCATTGGATCAAAATTTCTAATTTGTTGATAGTTCATGAGAAACAGATCGTTGGCTTTTTCAACACTGAAACATAAATAACTATTTGAAAGCATTCATCCAAGCATTCAAGCATTGATCCAAGCGAATTAACTCAAAAACTAGAAGCTACTACTATACATTATGAGAAACAAGTCAAAAATTATGTACAAGTTCTACAAATACTCCACAGAAGGAAACTATCAAGCAAAATGCTAGTATGCACTTATAATTAAGACTTTAGAAATAGACAAGATGCCCACGGACCTTATAGGTAACATGAGTATCCGTAGGAACTTTCCAACAATTTAATTTGATTCGTGTTTTTAATCAGAGGGCACAAACCTCACAATTTTGAAAAAGGCACCATTGCTTATCATCATTATTACTTAATACCAAGAGGCAGATCACAGAAACAAAGAGAAAATGCATTTCACTTTCTTACGAGTTGTTCACCCTATTTCACAGGAACCATTGACCGTCGGGCGACACATTTCAATTTTTTTTTTAAATTTTATCATGATTTTTGTCATCATAAATTGTTGATTAATAACAAAATAAGGATTTCAAGGGATTGATTTATTTTCAGTTTACGTACCCCCTCCAAATCCCTCTGGCCCCGTGACAGAGGAAGCTTTCTTCATCATAAATAAGTACTTAAATCATTGGCATAATACACAGGAGCAAAGGAGAATAATTTTAAAGAATCCATGCATTTTCATTAGATAAACATTAGGAAGCCTTGACCCAGGGGCCCTGAAATTTGCAAATCTCAAAAACACCCCCCTCCTCATAAATATGCACAAATTTCATTGGCTTAATACCCAGGCGTAGAAAAAAGATTTTAACTATAAAATCTTTATAGACCCGACCTAGCCAAAAATCCCTGACCTTGGGGCCCTGAAATTCACATATTAAGAAGATGCAGCCTTATTCAACATTACAATGCACTTGTTTGTTTATTTAATAGTCATGAGCAGAGAAGAATTTAAAGAATTTCTGCATTTTCACTTTATACTGTATATAGTCCCACCCTAGCACTAGAACCCCTGACCCTAGGGACCATGAAATCCACAATTATTAAAGAGGCAGTCTTATTGAACATTACAATGCACTTCGATAGTTTATTTAAATCCCATGAGAAGAAAATAAGAATTTCAAAGCATTTATGCATTTTCTCTATATAATCTTTATAGTCCATCCCTTGAACTAGAACCCCTGAACCTAGAGGTCATAAAATTCACAATTTTGGAAGAAACACCCTTATTCAACATAATACTGCTGTAAACCTATAGGGCTTAGAATGGACATTTTATTTGAATATTTTAAACTTGCACTATAATCATTTCATATCATAATAATTTTAATTATTAATACTGAACTTATTAGTGATAGTAAAATAAAATGAAAGTTTATTAAACAAGGATGTACATTATTAGTGTACCACATACAGTTACTTTATAATTGGAAATGAGACTTTCATTCCATGAACTATAATTATCTTGTTGAAACAAATTGGATGTTGTTGTTGGTACAATGAACTATAATTTTGTAAACCATTCTGTAAGGAATTTGATCAGAACAGACCAATTCAGTCCATCGTTATTAAGTAATAAGATTTGAACGGAAATGCAAAGTTACTATTGAGATTCTTGATCAAGAGTAAATAAACTGGTAACTTTGAAGTAGATAAGTAAAAGAGCTTAGGGCTAGAACTCCTGTGGTGCGGAGATGGGGACTGAGTCCATTATTATTACTAAGGTATGTTTACCTGTATATGAGGGTCAGTTGCCATGTTGGGATTCATAGGTCAGTGGACAGACCTACGGACAAAGCGTAGGTGGCAGGGCAATGGTAAGACAGCCATTGAAAAGTACTTTTATATATCCGGAACCATGAATACCCTCTGAGTACAAAATACCCTGTTTGGCCGGAAAACGGCATTTGAGACTAAATTCTTAATTCTTTGACTTTCTTTTGAAACACTCTTTTGAAATATTTTGGATTCTTAGTTTTACGGACTTTTAGTTCTAAAGCTCTCTTATATAATTGGAAAGGACCTTACAAACATTTGTATACAAAGTGTATTGGTCAATGCTGATTACAATTCCGTTATTAATTCAAAATCTATACGATCACAGTGTAATTATAAACTTGGAATCATTTAATAAACATTAAAAACAAAGACAATTTTTCTTCATTGGCTTACACTGCACTTGGTTAGTTTACTTAATGCCCATAAGCAGAGAAGAAGAATTTCAATGAATTTATGAATTTCACAATTTTGTTAGAGGACTCAGTGCTGAATAAGATCATTCCTACAGTTTGAATGCTTGTTGTCCAGGAGTAAAGAAGAAAATTTTGAAAGATTGCATTAATATTTTGGCTTTGCCCCCCCCCCCCCCCCGCCCCCGGGCGGGGGGGGGGGGAGGACCATGAAATTTACAATTTTTGTTTTCCTTCACCCATAAATACTATATGCGAAAATTGGTTGAAATTGGTTAAACAGTTTCAGAGAAGAAGCTCAAAATGTTCAAATGTACAGGGGCTGAGTTTATTTAATACTCAGGAACAGAGGGGAATATTTTTGAAAAAAATTCCATTTTACTATATAATCAAAAGACACCCCCAGCACCAGATCCCCTGACCTTGAATCCATAGAATCTGCAGTTTTGGAAGATGTACTCTTGTTAATCATAACTATGTACTTAGTTAGTTTGTTTAATGCCAAGGAAAAGAGGAGAAGATTTTCAAAGAATTAATGTTTTCACTATAATATCAATAGAGCCCCAACCTATTACCAGAACCCCTGCCCAGGGGTCATGCAATTCACAGTTTATGAAGAGGCACCTCTGGTAATCATAACTATGTACTTGGTTAATTTGTTTAATACCTAGAGGCAGAGGAAAATTTTTTCAAAGAAATAATACATTTTTACAATATGATCTATATAGCTCCACCCTATCACCAGAACCACTGACCCACGGGCCATGAATTTCACAACTTTGATAGACGACTCAATGCTGAATAAAATTATTCGAACAATTTGACTGCATGATGTTGAGGATTGAAGAAATAGATTTTTAATTCTTGCATAAATTTTAGTGGTTTTGGTCCCACCCAAGGCCCCATGGGGACAGGAGCCATAAAATTCACCATCATTTGTCCCTTTTCACCCATAGATGTTGTATACCAAATTTGGTTTATACTAATTAAGTGGATCCAGAGAAGAATCTAGAAATGTTCAAAAGTTAACGACTGACGTACGATGACGGACGAAATCAGATAGCAATAAGTCACCCTAAAACACTATACACTAGTTACAAGTGTAATGGGGAGCGTTACAGATGTTTCCCAAAAGCTCCTTCATTCTTTTCTTGTGCCATTACTGGAGTTTTATGAAGAGACTTAATTTTACATTCGACAGCTGACTTGTACATTTTAGTAGTTGGAGTTGGTCTGTGTTTAAATTGTAGAAGTCAGTCGTCCATTGTAAAAGTAAGTCTCTTCATAAAACTTGCAGGATATGAATACGCCATCCAGTCATGACAAAAAGTACATGTTAATTCTGAGTATCAAACTAATTCATTAAAATATATAAGATAAGTCTAAACAAGTATGTTGGTCCTTTAAGCATTTATTGCACGTGCATACGTGTTCATGATGACTAAGTCATCTTGTTTACAAAATCGATGTACATGTACTCGTATTTTATAAAACTGATTATCAAATAATTTTATCAACGTGTGAAAAGATTACAGCAATATCAAAGATATGGGTCATTAATCACATTGCACGTACATGAATTCATGTTTCTGTATACATTTTTTATAGAAGAATAATGTAGGAATCCGTTATACCTATTCATATTCTTAAGTCGCCCTCGTGGCGCAGTGGTTAGAGCATCTGCTCTAGAGTAGCGAAGTAAGGAGTCAATCCTTACGTCGCGGGTTCGAATCCTACTGCGGGACGTGGAGACCGGTCCTTCGGATGAGACCGTATAAACCGAGGTCCCGTGTCGCAGTAGGTGCTGGCACGAAAAACTTGACAGTGACATTTTGTTAGCGGAACTTTTAAAGAAAACGAATGTAACAAATCAACTACTTCAGGAATTAGTTGCGGTTTGTAGTAATTTACTACCCACGCATCAACTCAATTCAAGTTTTGATTTAATTCACTTTGTGGATGCAGGTGAAACAAATTTGAAAACAGCGTCAGCGCAAAATTTTGAGGTAAGCTCATATCAGTCTCCCACTCAATTGATACAGAGGGAAGTTAATGAACTTGCTTTGCAAAAAGAAGCAACCAGAATGAAACAAAGGATCAAAGTCAGTTGGATGCAAACTCTCAACTCAAGATAACAAACTTACTTTAAACAAATAAGTAATGCCAACCGCGCAAAATATTACGAAAAATGGGTAAATCTGGAAAATCCCGTAATCCCTAGGAAATTTAGAATCAAGCTGATTCGGAGAGAACCAATAAAACAAACAAATGTTAGAATTAGGACAGCTAAGAACCGTGTGATAGGGAAAATACAACTACTCAGAATGAAGGCAGAAAACAACCATAAAAAGTTATGTCCATTGACCTAGAAATGAAACGCATACTGAAAACTAAAGCATACGGCAGAATATTAGAAATACTTCAAGATATGCGGAAATCTGAATGCCTTTAGGAAGAAAAAAACCTCATACAACAGATGGAGATATACAGAAACCTGGCTTTTGGATTATGAAAAGAATTACGGTAAGGAAATTACTAAACCCAAAAACACAAGACTACAGCAATTGTCTATTAGACAAGTTTCTAGGAAAAGTTACGCGTCCGCCGTTAGAAACAACTAAACAAATAATTTTACAGATACTGTGGATCTTCCTACCGAAAATGCAACTAAAGCAATGAATACATTTTCGGGGAAACGAAAATATACAAGGATGAACCAACACGAGAACTCTAAACACAGGAGTTACATTTCTCATTCAGCTATTTCACAAAACCGACCGTTTCAGAGACATACAGAATCGGGACAATAACGGTAAACATAA